TATTTTCAAAATATGCAGTTTACCCTGCATATTGTATCACCTATACGATGAAATCATGGTAAATAATATAAACAAAAGCATTTTAATAATGCAAATAACGTAACGCCTAATATTCCATGTGTAAAAGCTGATGTTTTACATTTTGTACTTTAAATTTATGTGCTTTTACAGATGGTCTTGAAACAAAAGAAACGCTGCAAACCTTCTCTTTTTTGCGAGGATGCTATTTAAAAAAAATTACGGTAATTAAAAAGTTGGGAACAAAAAGTACTTTGAAAACCTTACAAACCCTAATGTAGGAGTCAGATATATTTAAGCAAAAAACTTTTTGCGCCTAAATTTAAAAATGTTTATAACAAAATTCAAATTTTATCAAACAACAATTTACAACTTAATCTCAATGAGCAAAAAAGTTGTTTAAATCACCAAAGTTTTACAAAATTTAAATGTTCAAACAATTCCATAAAAAGTGTTTTTGGTCTTTTTAGATGAATTCAGTTGTAAATTTCACAGAGTCTTTGTTATAGTTATTCAGTTGTGGTTACAACTCAATAATAAACACGAACCTTGGCGAACAAGGCCGCTTCGCGAAAAAGTTGAGTGCGATACTACCAGGGACATGGTGGATTGAACTCGGAACTTCTCGCTTATGAGGCAAGCGCTCTTCTAATACACCACTACCATCATACATATGTTATAGCATTATTATCGTATCTATTTTTTTTTTTTAATAAATTTTTATAGTTTTATTTTTAGTAAGTTTTTGATATTTGCTACATTTTAAGCTAATTTGTCAGTCTTGCAAATTTTATACGGTTTAATTTATAGAATTATTTAAAAAGTTTATTTATTATGGCTTTTAGTTACGTTTTTAGTTACTATTTTGAAGCAAAGGTACGATATTATTAATAATTTTCTATATTTTCTATTTTACAATAAAGATTATTTTACTGATGCTTTTTATAAAAATTATTGTATTCACAAAATTTTAATAAAGGCGCTGCAAAAAGTAAAAAAAAAAATTGTTTATATTTTTAAAGAGCTGTTATTTGTATAATTAGTTATTTAAAAAATTGTAGATTTTTAAATTACAAATTTAATTATTTTTAAATGAAGCCTATTAATAGTGTTATTTAAACCTAAGGAGTATCTGCAGCTTACCCTAGGACTCCTCTTATGTACACAGCCCACTTGTGAAAAAATTTCTGGATCCGCCCTGTCCTATTTC